TTTTTCAATTAAAAACTTTGTGTAAGAGCACCTGGAAACTTGTTCATCCACCCTATACTATTCGCTTAACTTCAGCATTCTTACTTTGCCCATTCTGGGTGACTGGCTACTGTCTCATTGATCAAGCTGCTTGTGACTTGAATCAAGTGAACGCTCTCTTGATGCACCTAAATTAAAGAGAGAGAGGAGAAATGTTACGCAATGCAAACTAGAACTCTTTCTACATTCAGACAAGCTTTTTTCCCCCCCTTTTTTCTTTTCCCCGGGAGGGGGAAGGGGAAGAGGAGGTGACCAGTTTGTACATGTACATTGAAAGAATAATTCTCCCCATGCAGACAAATCACTATGAAGAATGAAGTGTCATTAACCCCAAAAAGCTGTCAATAATCATCAGTCTGTTCTGACAAATTTGGTCACATACTATATGACTAGTAATAGCAAATGGAAATTTAAACCTTATCTCAGTGAAAAAAAACTCTAACAATACAGCAGTGCTGTCGAGGGAAGTACTAAAAAATGCAAAGCACAATTCAGATACACCTTTTTAAGCCATGGATCAAAGAAGTATAAAAATTGATGAATGTTCAGCTCTAATGTGACCAACCATTCTATGAAGTGCCTCACCAAATTAATTCTTCAATAAGAATGGAGAAAGCTTTTATAAATATCTTAATGTTCCTTTTACAAATATAAGGAAGATTCAGGCAGGAATGTTTGCACAACTTTTAAAGCTTTCAGTTTTAAGTACTCAACATTATATAAGACTACATTTTGGAAAAAGGAGATTGACATCAGAATCCACTGATTTTTTTTTCTGTAACTGTATTCAAGGCAAACATTCAAACTCCATTGACTGCTTTTCAGTATGAATAGATCCATAAAAAAACCAAAAATTAAGTACGTGAGTGACCTCTTCTGGTGAGCAAAGAAACACCCTACCATAAACCAAAAAGCAATTTCAGAGCACTTGATCATGAATCTAAGCATATTTAAACTCAGAACAGGATACCAAGAGGGTATTACAGGCAATTACACAAACTAACTGGCAAATACACCTTAAGTATTTTGCAAATATGTTTCTGATGCAAGGTAAATTAAAAAGAAGAAATTCTAAGTGGCTCTTGACATTGACAAGAAAAGTGTAACAGGATGCAAAACAAATCTGCTTCTGTAATATATAAGATAATAACTCTTATACTAGAATAAATTTCATATTTCCAAGTGTTTATGTATTAGTTTTGTCACATATGTAAATACACTTATAAATACAAATAAACACAAATTTTAAAATGTTTACATATTAGTTAGTCTTGGAATGGTAATAAGTTCAACTACAGAGCATTAACTGCTCATTTTATTTTTTTAAAATTATTTAAGCTACACATTTTTAAATAAATATCAGTAACTTTCATTCAGCAGTTAAAATGACTTATTTGATTACATCCCTTAGCACACTGTACCTTTGCAGTAAGGAGCAGGGCTAGCAGAAGGGTTCCTATCACTAGCAAAAATATTATGAAAATGCTGATTATTTTATCTAGCATTTTCTCCAACCACACGATCACCTGTGCAGGAAAAAATAAAAACACAAATCATAACTTGTAAATCAAGCTTTAATTAAAGCAATACTATATGCTATATGACAATATTGTTATCTTTATTTAAAATCTGTGCAGAATCAGGCTCTAATGAAACAGCATTTATGCCAAGCTTGGAGATGAACAATTAACAAGCAATGTTAGCATGGTTAAGGTCATGGTATGACGTGATTTTGCAAACAACATTAACACATTACCACAAAACACAGCAAGCTCTCTGAAAAGCAAGCATTAATTCAATTTACTAGACCTAAAGAAGCTAGCATTCATGTCAGCTATGAACCTAGATATTTGTCTTTGCTTCTTCTCCTTCAGCAACCCGTAAACTTACAGACAGTATCTGCTCTGGACTTGGAAGCTATTAAGTTATATTGTAAAGTACAACCACAACTTTCAAATCTCAACAGTTAATGGCCATCTAAATAACAAATCAGGTATTTCTGCAAGTAATCAGATTTTTAAAGCTGCTCATCAGCTTCTGAACTGAAATGGGACTGGAGGTTTTCTGCATTATTGAATACCAGGCAAATAAGTCAGCACTGACTCTTTCTATCCACTTCTAATCCTGAAAAGATGCTCAGTGTTAAACATGCATCAGCTAAGCCTACTGATAGAGGAAACAGGCATATCAGTTTTTCTGTCAGTTCATGGAAAGGTCCATTCTACACATGTCCACAAATAACGATACCATTTAATATTAAAGCAATTCTGGTAATGCCATTCAAACAATAAAACTACCCACCCACGCAGCTATGCAGAGTCCTTTAAAATAGTGCAAGCTGAGCTTCCTTTCGTACACAAACTGGCTGTTGACATAAAAAGCTGTGAAAGCTCATGCAAGTATGACCAAATAAATTTCTCTAGCTTCTATGGTTCAAATACCAAGGCTATTTTGATTCCATTTGCCATTACTGCAGGAAAAAGCAGCCGAAGTACAGCTGTAAAATCTGTGCTTTAAGAGAACTGAGGTCAATGCCAATGTGCAGTAGGTGAAAGTAATTCCAAGTGAGTACAAGCTATATACTCAGTGATTAGGTTGGCAACTTTTTAGTTAAAGAGATATTACAAAGCTACTAACATGCTTGCTCATGATTTACATCAGTTCTCGCTTCATTATTTATCCTATCCCTACACATAAAATTGGGCCTGGAAGAACTAACTTCTACAGACTTCTGTGTAATGATTTAATTGGTTAACACTGAAGTTGTAACTCCTACTTTAAAAAAAAGTATGGTGGGTTTTGTTTTTTTTAGTCATTGTGTAGCATCTGAGCAGACAATATACATTAAGCAATTATTTCCCAAGTTCTTTTACAACCAGCTCCTTGCTTGATCTAAATTAACCTAAGGATTATATTCAGTATTTCAGAACTGTTGTTCAAAATTATGAAGAAAACTGGAATAAAGCAAAATTATTTTAAAAGAAACAAGTGTTTAGCCAACAAGTTTTTGTAACAAAATCTGCCCTATATTAGGACCTACAGTCAGGAACTCAGAGAACCTCAAAGAATCTGCAAAATTTTTGGTCTTAGATATTTTTAATATTCTTTTCGCACTGATTAAATATTTCAGTCATCAGAAATGCCTTGTTAGTGTTAGAGGGAGGTTACTTGCAGGCAGCAGTACTGCAGCTTTCTGAGAATCTGAGCAGCCTCTACATGCGGCTGTTACCTCTTTAGAAATAAGACCAAAACCAGGATTTGCTGTGCACTTCCAAGCCTCACATACATCTAAGTCCCTCTTTTAAAGATCAGAAATAAGAAATAACACTGGAAAACACTGGATGGCCAGGGGACAGAAATTCTGTAACATGGGATTCAAAATGAAGCTATTACAAATGAAGACAGCCCTCATTTGTTCATAGTTAAAGTTCAACTAATTTCTATTTACTTTCTAAATCAGATATAAAATAAATCCACTAGTTAGTCGCATAAATAGCATCTTCACCAGACTCAATGAATCCAAGAAACTGTAGGTACTGTCAAAGATTTCCAAAAATGCTAGCCTCGATGATTGTATGGGTGGCATCCAACAGATGAAATCCGTCACAATGTATCCGCACAGGCAGCTGCCCCAGCCTTCCAAAGCCATCTTGTGTTTATTTACTTGGGCAGGTAGCCCAAGCAAACCAGATGAAAGTCAATTCTGGTATGCCTACAGGCACTGCAATTACATCTCTCTCCATAGTCTTAGGGAGATGCAAGTCATAAAACTGGTAAATCCCATGAGAAGGCTGAATTGGATTGAGTGTCGTAGAAGTAAAAGCAGATGCACAACATTCATTTACGGTAATATTTACTCCCTCTCCTTCAATGTGCTTGCTATTAAACCTTCCCACTTCCTCATTTATCACAACTCTTCCTTCAGAAGCACTCACTTTGACACTCATGCTAAATAATGCAGAGAAGTTATGTTACTGCAGGTAAGCTGGACTGTTAAATCCCTGCGTGCTTGTACTTACCACTCAACAAGGTCCAGAGTTCATTCTGACCCCACCCCTGTCAGACCTCCCTCTACATCCTTCCTGTAAACCACGGGCATGCACACAATGACAAACATACACTGACTAAACACTAGTCATTAGCCAGAGATCATGAAGCTTTAAATTCAGCTCCAAGCTTCTAATCTAAACATTAGTAAAACAGCAGGAAGCTGATGTTGCCACAACATCCAAAATTAGGCAAAGGTAAAGGAAAGCCAGGCTCCTAAGCTACAGAAGGTCACACTTGTAAAACCAAACTGAAATGCTGCCGATTTGTGATAGACTGTGCACAAAAAACTATCCTTAATTATCACAGTTTTGAAAGGAAAGTTATCAACTTTTGAAATTTTTAAAAAAATTAGCTCACCATAGGAAAAAAGTTTTACGTTGAGTTGCATTCTGTTAAAATGCTTCTCAATAATTTTCAAGTTCTCCCTGCTTTCAACTTTTGGGTGAGCTGTAACAGAACTACAGCTCAGAAATCCTACTATCTAGACTAGTTCTCTATGTTATACACTAAGATACATAATTTATTAATTAATATTCTCATGTTTCACATTGCATAACCATCAGAACCCTTATTTTTCTAGCATGTTTTTTGTATTGCACTACCCACACAGTGAAGCATACCCAGACATCTACTTCATTTTCAAATAATCTACATGAAATTACCAAAAAGGACTATTTTCTTTTCTTTAAGCAGCTTCACAATCTACCAGGATTGTTTTGCTAGACATTTCTTAGACTTACTGACATTTCCCTTTATTTCAGTAAATATTTAAGGATATCAGCTTATTAATATAATCTGATGAGAATACAGGGAAGCCTGTAAATCAGGACACACCTCAGATTTATGCTGAAATGAGTCAGATGAGTACTTAAGCTAGAAAAGACAGAACAGTCTAGATAAGGTCTCAAGTCTACTCATACCCAATAGCATTCCAATAGCAAGAGCAGAATTTAGCACTTCTTTCTAAAGACTCCTGCCGTAGACAATGTTACAAAGAACAAATCATGCTAGTCCAACTGAACATGTTCTATTTTTCAGGCTACATATATCACAGTAAACTATGTGATTCTATACTACTCTTGTTTGCAGTAAAGTTTCAAACAGCTCTTTGACAGAAGCTCTTAGAAAGACAAAAAAACAAGGTTTGTCAATATAGCAGTGATAATCAACCATTATTTCAAACTCTGCCATCTCTGTGTGGTGTATTTTTAGTTTCTTGGTGGATTACCAGAAATTTATGTTTGTGTTCTCACAACTACTTTCCTTCAAAGACAAGCAAAAAAGAGAAAGATGCAAAGGAAGCATGCATCCAGTGTTCTGTATTAAAAATTTTCTCCTTTCCTTGCCTCTGGTATAATGTGATTTTTTTTTTAAACTATTTGCAGGGGGGGAGAACCCACAAAAAAACCAAACAAATCCCCAACAAAACAAGCATGCAAGACCACAATACAATTTGGATAATGTTCTTTTACTTGTTTTCATCTTTATTATAGTATTATTCTACTTATTCATGCACAGAAGTCAGCACTGCATGTGATATCTCTTCCTATGAAACTGTAAAGTAAGACAGTAGTTTTCAAAAAAAGCTTTGAAGAAATAAAACCTCTCTGTTAAGAAAGTATATTCCACAGAGTTTTGCTCGGTAATGCAAATCTGTAAACTAAAAATAAAATCAAGACGTTTTAGAATTAAAAGCAATTACAGTGAAATAGTTTTTGCAATGTATCAATATTAACGAAGAAACTATTCTATATACATCCATTTTGTAACATGCAAATTAATAACTCAGAGCCAGAAAAAATGTATTTGAGACCAAACTTTCACCTGTGGCTCTCTGAACTCAGCTTTTCACTTGAACTGTGTTAACAAACCAATACCCAACAACATTTTTTTTATGAGGGGTTATGGTTGCACATATTTGCTAATTTGTAAGTCACTTAACACAAACATTTCAAAGTCAGGAAACAAAAATGTAATTTAAAAAAAACAAAACTACATTCAAGGGCAAAAGAACATTAAAAATATACCTTCTTAGTGGACAATTCTAGCTGAATCACAAAGCAAGCAACTCCACTCTCTTATTCAGAAACACAAAGCCCCCCATCATTTAACCCTCAATTCACTGATTAAATACTGAAGATAATACTTTCTAAATTCATTATGGCTGCTCTGCCTGGACACTACATGCAGCATTACTCCCCATCTACCACCCACAGCAGATACCAGCTGTGCAGCTCCATTTCATTACTTACAAGAACCTTTTAGAGAGCAGTGCCAGTGCCCAACAGCCTGCATGCTCTATTCTGTGCCACTTGCTTTCAACAGCATTCTGAACAATAGCATTTCAGGTGTCTTTCCTAACATGCAAGGCAGATCTATGGTATCTACTGTAACAGCTACTGAATGGAAAGGATTAATTGCTATTTATAAAATCACAGTAACCATTCTAACTCTCTCACTAATACTTAAGTGTTAAATGGGGATAAAAGTTGCTGCTGGAAGCATAACCCATTTCCAGACATACTTGTTTAAATGTATTTTATCACATACTAAATTTTCACCTTTAAAACTGAGGTTCTGCAGATGCACACGTTACAGGCATGTCTCTTCAGTTCTGAAGTAATGACACTGGCCTAGTCTCAAAGAGATATCACTGCAACTGAGGAGCTGTCCAGATTTCAGTCACACGAGGCCAAACACAGATTGAATCAGTTTCAACTTCTCTTGGGATGCTAGCTCCCCAAGGAACAATAGTTAACCCTACCTGACTAAGATGAACCATGGGTACTGAGGAGTAGATTTCTTATAAAACACATCACACACTTTTAGTTATAACTACTGCTTTATTTTAAATTTTTTTTTTTTTTTTTTTTTACTAGCCCTCACTTCCATTAAGACTGTCCTTAGATTCAGCAGTTCTGAGACCACGAGTATTCTCATTTCACCCCAGCTATACCGAATACCACCACACAGTTCCATCTGACACTGCAAAAGTAAATGACTAACAGCACTGACTGAAGCCAGTCAGCTATGTGCGAAGCTTTACAACTGTGCTTCATTCACCCTTATTACCCTCATACTAATTCAGTTAACCAGTGCTTTCCCTGAGCACAGAACCCCTCTCTGGTCCAGGAGAGAACTGGTTTTGCTATGCATGCAAGCGGGGATCAGGTGGAGATCAACTGATCATAAATAAAGTGCCACTAAATCAAACTACTGCTTGAAAGGCTAATGCAATACTCTGCTGTACAAAATATTTTAAATATATACATTTTCTTTAGCAGAAGATGAGATCAGTTAGAACTGTATGACCTTCAGTAGCTTATATTAAGAGCTGGAAAAGAGACACTTGGGAGAGAAAACTAAGAAGCAAGGCATGTTAAGGAGTGTTCATGCTGCAAAAAAGCAACTCCCCCAAACCACAGAATCCATTAGTTGGAATCACAATTTTTTTGTTCATTTACCTTCTTATTAAGCCAGTGCCACAGCTTGTCAGTGGCAGGGGAAGATGGAAGAAAGGAGGAAAAAAGACAAGAACACAGTGGAAAATTATTGAAAAATGCAGTAATAGAGAGGGGAAAAAAAGCAATGAGAGGCAGGCAAAGTCATCCACAGAATGAAAATGAAATTGTTCCAGACACAAAGGTAAATTGCAATAGGAAGAAAAGATCAAAATTTCTAATGCAAGACTCTAGATTTTACTATTTGCATGCACTTTTTGAAACAAAAAGGGATATAACAAATAAGAACAATTTTAAGGATATTAGCAGAGCTATCAGCATAATCTGGATAATTCCAGTCTAATAATACCAAGAGGTAAAAGTTTGGATTTCAGAGTAGGACTTGTAAGGGTTCCCCAAGAAAAGAACCTCACTGAAAAAACAAAACTTAACATGAAATACTTATTCAATGCATTATTACTTCCATTCAGGCAGTTTCCTACCTATTTCAAACTATTCCTATTACATCAACTACTGTTAAATAAATTGCATCTATTTTTAAAAAAACACGCATATTACAACATTCCACATACAAGGGCATATCAAATAAGTAATTAAATCTGAAACACAACAGCAAGTTGCAGATCAAATAAATGTATGGATTTCATACTGTTTTACTGGTTGTGCAGAAAGCTCTTTGTGCTTCTCAACAGTTAACTTCTCTTGTACTACAGTTATTTTTCCTTACTAATTCTCACCTACACTTGCTCAAGTACACGCATTTTAGGGCCTAGTTTACATAGGACTATACCCTTAATTCCAGCCATTGGTAAAAAGCAGCATAATGGTAACAGTGAAAAGCTTTAATGTAATTCATCTGTGTGAGCTTAAGATCAAATAAGTGAAGTTCGTTTCTCCCTGAAAACAACATCATTGAATGCTCAATATATCTAGTGTTTTCACAAGTTGCCAGAATTTATATCAGCTCCCAATGAAAACAACATGTAAAAACATTTCAATTTAAAAAAAAAAAAAAAAAAAGTCAGGAAGTTATTTAAGTTATATCAGAAGCTAGAAGCAGATTTACAAAGAAACATGAACATCAGGAAACATGAAAATAACCTGTCACAAAGCACCAAGTTTTACTAGCTTTTAATACTCATGGAAAAAATCACAGTAATAGGAAGCAATGACAAAGCTTCAAAAGCCTCAAACTGACACTGTGAAATTTGTTTCTAATTTACCTCTTCACCTATAATTTATTAGTGAAAAAAGGGTTTACTGATTCAAAAACAGACTTTTGCCTTTAATTTCACTTCCGCATATTGAACTCCACTGTACATTAGGTTCATTTTGGAGAAAAACATAGATCTCATGGCTGTATTTCTCCACTTTGCAACTCCAACACAACAAAATAGAGAACTCTATTGTTAACCTAAGATTTTAGCAGAATGTGAAAGGAAGTTTTCACTATTTTTTCTAGAATTTTAGCCTCCTGAAATTGGATGATAAATATAGTAACTAGCAAATAACATTATTAATGTTTAAGGCAAATCCGAGAGACTCTACTTGCTTACTATCTTACCAACAGTGGTATTTAAGTAGTTATACAAATGTAATCAGTCTACATATAAAAACAGACTATGGTTTAACTCTAATCTTCAAGCAATTCAAAATTAATAAGGCTACACACATTTTTCTGGTTTGTTTTTTTTTTTAATATTTGTGTAAGATCTTTTGTGCCTATGAAAGTATTTCCTAGAATAATATATGCAGTGGTAGAGATTCTTCCCGTTTTCTGTGCTTGCTTTAACCGTGTTGTAAACATTTTACCAGAAGAACCAAACCTTGACTTTACTCAAAGTCCAAACAATCTATTACAGTCCTCCTTATACAGAATTCTAGTATGCTATACCTAGAAAATCATCTAATGACTGCATGATTCACTGAGGTTTACCAGAAAGCATGTATCCAAGATACATTGCATTCAACAGAAGTTGTGTGAATACAGTTGAGCAACTACCTATATGCTGCTGAACTCCCTTGTAATCTCTAATCAGAACTACAGTCATCACATTGAAAGACAAGCGTCTTAAAAAAAAAATAAATTACCAGTGAGGTATATTATTAGTTTTTGACTGTTGATAAGAACATGAGTGATACTAGCTGTTCAGTTTTAAGATTACTTGATGGATGACAGAAAACTCCCTACTCTTTCCTCCAGGAAGTCTCTCAAATCTGAACTGCTGTGTCTGTTGGCTCCATGGGGCAAAGGCACGACCAGGGACTAAATAATACAGTAAGGGAACCCCATTTTCACAGTCCATATTTAAACCAGGCCTGCTTACACAGGCACAGCGGGATCTAATGTTTACACAGAAAATGAAAAACAATGCCCTACTTTCTTTCCTCTGGATCAGAACCTCTCTTTAGTTCAAATATGCCTGCATTTCCAACACAACCTGAGGTTGACAAGTAGTGGGAAAGAAGAGTTATTTTCTTACTGCTTTTACTTAAGAAACAGATAAAATTATTTGCATGCATGACTAGTACTCTCCCATAATTTCTCCTAGTGGGTTTTTTCTAGACCATCTACACTAGCCTCCTGAACTTCATTTGAGAGAAAAAGACATACTACTCTATGATACCTGTCTCGTTCTCACTACCTTTTACTCAAAACTGGAACTATTTCCTAACAGGGCAAGTCACTTTAGAAATAACAAGTTGTACAACTAGTTATTTGTGTGAAATAGACCTTGCCAATGGCTTGTTGTACTTAGCTAAGCACCCAATACAACCTGATGCTAAGGATTCAGCCTCCAACTCATTCAGTATACAAAAACACAAAATCAAAAGAATACAAACAAAAAAACTATCACTAAGCAGCTTCATCTCCCAGGAAAATAAAGTAAAAATAAAATATTTTAAAAATTAAACATTTAGCTGCAAAGGAAATGATCCTTTAATATTGATTTCTCACACAATACATGTAAGGACTTAGCCATTAATCATTTTCTCTTCTGCGTTTATGTATTTTTACTTCCTCTTCATTATGGAAGCCAAACTTTTTGGTGGTCAAACTTGAATACAGGTCATCCATCCCCTCTAAAAACACTCGCAAGGATGTAATTTTCATTCCTCTCCTTTCCTTGTCCCCTCAAAATCACAAACACCAATATCCTATGGCATTGCTTCCTTCATTCTCAGAGAAAAGATGCATCCATGATTCTACGATGCACAGAATAAGCATACCTGGTAGAACTTAAAAAAATGAAAGCATTTGTGTGACAAGCATTAGAAGACCACATATAATTCCAGCCACCCATGAGAAAGCCAGATGAACTGTAAATAGAACAGGCACAAATGAGGACAACAGAATCATGCAGAGTATCAAGTGTCTTTCTTATATAGGCTAGAAGAGCTTGAATTGCCTCAAAACACAAAGCACAGGCTCAGAAGGAATATGACTGTCACCTAAAAAATGAGAGGAAGAGGGGAGATGGAGACATGAGTTGTGCCAAAAGTGTTTGTTTGTTAGACAAGAACAACATGAATATAAACTGACCTTAAATACATTTAAGCTGAAGACTGGGAAGTTCTGCTGCACATTATGACAAAAGCCCTACCTTCTTTAAGGAGAAAAAACTTAGTGGAATTAGGAAGGATACTGTATCATTTAGTTATGCAATACAAGGACACTAAATTTGACAACTCACAAAATATAATACATACAATATTGTGTCCAGAGAGTCTTCTTACTTACAAAACAGCAGCTTTTAATGAAAAGCTGTGTATAGCATAAGCTTTTATCCTAACATGCTAACACTTCCCCTTACCTTTGGAAACCCCCTCTGTCTTCTTCACAGCTGTATTCTGAAAGGCTTTTCATTTTTCAAATTCTTCCTTAACAAACTCTGTGAAATTGTTACTTATTCCCTACAGTCATTTTAACGCCTTTGCTGAGCTTTCGACATCTGTTTACACCCGGACTTAAGCTCTTCCTTTTCCTGTAGGAATTCAGAGCTATAAACCACAGACAGATCTGCCGAGGTACAGATGCTCTGTTAAATGTACTAAGTCTTCAGTTATGAAACTCTGAGGTAATTGCTTTTTCTAAGGCAGAGAATACTCCAACAACACAGTCACAGAAAGCACATTCCTACACATTGGCATAGTTATTATAAACAAAATGATCTATCAGGTTATATAAAAACTTACAATTCTGAATTGAGAAGCCTTCATACGCTTTTACTGAGCTTTCCAACTGCAATTTGCAATGCAAATGTGGGTACATTTTGAGCGGGGGAGGAGGGTGGGGAGGACAAAAGCCTTATTCTACAGCCCTTCTAAAATACGTTATCCCACATACTTCTCCTCTTACAGATGGAAGCCTCCCTTCTGTACCATCTTGCCACCATTCAACAACAATACTTCTACACAACATAAACTTGTTTGAACTAGCTTAGGTCCTACTTAAAAAATAAAATGGGTTGCTTTATAAACTAAGTTTTCACAAAAGAAGTAGGAATGTCTCATCCTTCAGATTAAAGCTTGTTAAGCTTAACTTCAAAATCTTTCTAAACAGGTGACTGAACCATGAGAAGTTTGCCCTACACAGACAAGGAATCTTCTAAAGCTAAACCAACATTTAAGAAGTGACTTCTATCAAGCCTTACATGTAATCATTTAATGGACTTCAAATGTGTATTTAAATGTGGACTGTGATATAAGAGACATGGTTTAAAATACACCATAAAACAGATAAAGTTTTACATGAGGGACATGTCCATTACTGACAGACATTTATTTTTCAATTAAAGCATCTCAGCATACAGTGAACAGAGAATAAAACAAACTTTCAGGTTGATTAAAAAAATAAGCAGAAATACCTTACTGTCAAGCTTTAGCATGACTCTTCCCAGCCCCCTGATGGGCCGTGGAGCCAGAGCTTCTTGACGTTCCTTCACAAAATTTTCAGCAAGTTGCCACCAACTTCTGCAATGGTTTGCCATGAAGTTCAAAACTCCAAAATGAACAACAAGTTTTTTAAGTGCCCAAACTGTAACCACAAGAAGGAAATCAAGTATTAGAGATTTCAGGGGACCACCACAAGAATAAAAATCTATGCCATTCTGAAAGACCTACGACAGAGAGTATAAGTCTTATTTCCTATTAAAAAGCACTTGCTGAATTTTCAAGTGGTTTTAGAACTCATCTTCACCTTCACTTTACATCCATGCTTATCCACGTGGAATTTAGATGGCAGTAGAAGAAAGGTGCCTGTGCACTGCCCTAATAAGCAGCTAATCGACTTGAGCAAGGCCTGGGATAAGCAGATGTTATTCCATGATTCCAGTAGAGTAGATTTATCACATCTTCACAAAAACACCACACCAGACAACAACACATAAAATATTACATTCCAAACTTAATAGTATGTTACACATGAAAGAAAATTTCCAGCCTAAATCCTTAAGTTTTAAGTCTTCTATTAAAGCTATTTCCTTTAAGAACTGACAGCAGTTCATGTGTAATTTCACCATGAAGAAGTGTTCATTTAAGCCTTCCACTAAAATACAACTACTAATTTATAAATATTAAAAATATTGAGATCAGCTTTTTATCTTGGCTCAAAGACCATAACACAAAACTTTAGAAAAGGTCATACTGCTCCTCAAAAGCATGGCAGAAAAAAATATTCACAACTTTTTGCCCAAAAAAGAAGCATTTTGCTACCACAAACAGCTTTTCTCCAATACCTGTAACATATATTCACCGCAAAATAAAGAGCTTCTTCACAACACTAGAAATGTCTAGCATTACAGTTATAGAAATAAAAGCTCAGGTGTGTTTACTTCCTATGAAATAAAGCCCAGAGACTTCTGCATGAAACTTATTGTTCCAGTTCTGTAATTGCACTGTTCTCCCTCAATTACTGAGTGCAAAACTTGTGAAACAGTCAGGAATGTAAAAGCAAAAATGCATGATACATATGAAACTTTCCTGTGAAGCTAACAGACCTTTAATCATCATTAAATATTTGCCATATTCTTTTCTTATTCAACAAAATGTCACACTACTTCAATTACCTATCTTCTTATCACTAGAAAGACAAAGAGCAAGTCATCTTCCAAAGCCACTAGCAAATTTAACAACAGAACACAGGAGTTAAATAATTCACGTTATAAACAAGCATTTCTATTACAGCTGATTGTACTGGAGTATTGATGCAAACATATCAGTTACAGAAACACCATTATAAGCTACATCAACTGAAAGGATCATAATTATTGTGTGCAGCAATAACAGACTGGGAGGTCTCACAACCCAGTCCTGCCATGAACTACTAACATACAAACCTCTAAACAAAACTATACTTCATACCTAAATAACAAAATCTATGGTTCTAAAGGAAAAAAAAAGTGAAACTATTAGCAGCAGAACCACATACAATCGCAGAATGGTTTGAGTTGGAAGCGACCTTAAAGATCAACTAGTTCCAACCCCCCTGCATGGGCCAGGATATCTTCCCCTAGATCAGGTTGCTCAGAGCCCCATCCAGCCTGGCCTTGAACACTTCCAGGGATGGGGCTTCCACAATTTTCCTGTGCAACCTGTTTCAGTGTCTCACCACTTTCCCAGGAAAGAATTTCTTGCTGATGTCTAACCTAGATTCCTCCTCTTCCAGTTGTAGTCCATTACCCCTTGTCCTCTCACTAACAGCCCTCCTAAAAAGTCTGTCCCAAGCTTCCCCACAGGCCCCCTCTTAATTTCTCCCCATTTTCTTAATCCAAAATTTAGCAACAGTGAGTGTCACACGTAGATTAAAAAATTAGTCATTATTAATATTATACTTATACACTAAAATAGCTTCAAAAAATAGTAGCATTCCTCCAATTATATAATATAATTATAGCAGCATCTGATACTGAAATCCCCATCACTTTTAATAACGCTTGCTTTTTTTATAATTTTATTAAAAACAATTCTCTTGTCCTCAAAAATTCACATCATGGCTCTACTTGGAGATGTGCAATATCTACAGGACATTCATCAGAGTTCCACAGCAGCCTATTACCTTTTAGCCACTTGTGTAGTAATTTAAGTTCTCGTTCACAAATATATCATTCAATATGAACTGTCAGAGTTGGAAGGGACCTCTACAGATCACCTAATCCAACTCTCCCGCTAAAGCAGCATCATCTAGAGTGTGGTCCAGTTTACCGACGTTTGGTTTCCTTACCCTCTGGCACCACCATGTGGTAAACATGGGATGTATTCTCACGAGCAAATAGAATTAGCTAACGTAATCTTCCTACTGAGTATCATGTGGCAAACAGAAAAAAAGCAGAAAATGCCATGCGAGTGACAGAGCACTCAACCTGCAGGTTGAAGTTTCATATGAAGAAACGTAACTCGTGCTAAATATGCGAACTGCTGCTCAGCAAAACAACATACCTGAAATGGCATTCTAACCTGATCTTTAAAGTCCTTTCCAAATCAAACCACTCAGATTCTATGATACTCTAAAACAACTGAGTTCACTCTTCTTGCAAAGGTGATGCCAGGAGGTGTTACAGTCAATCACACAGCTGTAGTTATATTAGGTTAAAAAGAAGCAGGAGAGAAAAAGCTAAAAGAGGGCTGTTACTAGAAATATGTGAACAGAAGAACAGAAAGGCTGCAAAAAAAACCCAACAACTCAACACCAAACATCTCCAGGGAGCAGAAAATTACATGAAGACAAAACCAGAACTAAACAAGGTTGCAACAGAACAAGCAATTAAATAAGTGAAAGATCTTAAAAAGACATTAGCAGGACTCCCAGGGTTGCATCACTCAACAAAAAAACTACAAGTGCTCTGCAACCTGGTTTACTGTTTAGCTTTTGAATTCAGGTAATTTTTTCATCTTTTGATTTTACAGTATAATTACAGTATAATTTTTCCACCTTCTATGTTAAGCAATTTTAAAAGAGCGTCTCATTCTACCAAAGTACAAATGCATTCCAAGAAAAATGTTAATAGTACCAATTTACTTCTAATAATATAAATGCTACATCCTGTAAGTTCTGTCTACCAATATAGGGAACTCTGATGAAATGAACACCTTTCTGTTTAAGGTTTTAGGGCTGGGTTTGTTGTTTGGTTGACTTTTTTACATCCTGGAAGGATTATCCTTAAGGTCTCAGTAGTCCTTAAGGTTACCAGTCTCATTAAACTTGAAAAGTTGCACGGTAGCTTGCTTTAAAGTCTTCCTATTTTCTACTACTATATATATTTAATACCCTCTCTGTTAACAATCCAGGTTATCATCATTTACCTTCTGGCATTTATTTCAACCACCATTCCACATTTGGTTCTGTTCATTGTTACATTGCCTTTTCATAATATTTTGGTGGTGATCTAGTTATATTCACTTATATGCCAACAAAAAGCACTTAATGGCCCAGTGTCACTGCTAAGGCAAAATGTCACAAATATTCTCAAAACTTCTATTTTGGCATGAGTTTATCGTTCAGGTAGCTAATTTAGACCTGGAGACTGGCAGCAGGATTATTAATTAATTTCAGTTTTAGATATGAACTTTAATCTAGATTTGTATGGCTCAAGCTTAAAACCAGTCACTGTTATCTGCCTAACTGCAAAACTATTGCACTCATTTTTCCTCCCACCCAAGCAGGCATTTCTAAACAGTGGTTAATTAATTGCTTTACTTTTCAATAAATTAAGCCACACAGGCTCTGCCTCTAGATGCCAAAACTGGGCAGATTCTTCTTTCACAACTACACTGGGACAAAAAATAATAATAAAAAAATCAAACCTGTCTGTGCTCTTACCCTTTTTTCAGTTACTTATATGCCTAACAATCACATCACCATTTATCTCTGCAACAGTGTCACCACCAATATGCAGCTGTTTGCTTCACTGTGCCTCTCAGAGTTCAGAACTCCTTGAACCTTTAAGCATGGCCCCACAGACTTGATTTCCAGATGCACAACTGGGCAGTGTATAATGGCTTTGTGTATTGGGTGTAAATCACAAGGATTTGGTAGCAGTTTGGCCACTGGAGGGGCCTCCATGGGGCTGCCCTGTGCCAGACAGTCAGTTCCAGCTGGCTTTACCAACAGACCCACCTCAGGCCAAAGTTGAGCCCATTAGGAATGGGTGTGGTGCCTCTGTGAAAACAGTTAAGAAAGGGCAGAAATTACTGGAGACGGAGAAGTGAAGGGAACACAGGGACAACAAGTAAATAGAGAGGAAGAGGAAGAGAGGGATTAAAAGAGGGAATAAGAAGTCCAAAGGAGTAGAAGTATCCTATGGTGGAGTAGGCACATGACTCAGAGGGACTGTGGCCTATGGAGCACCCGGGCTGGATCAGGCACACCTCTTAAAGGTCCTGTGGCCTTGGGATGAAGAGACACCTGAGCTGAAACCTCTGCCAAAGGGTCTGCAGCTCATGGATAAACCCACACTGGAAGGCAGGAAGAGCAAGTGGCTCTGCTGGTAGTTGGCTGCTAAGCTGGGCCCAACCCACCACACTTGATAAAAGGGAAAATAGATATATTTTTAGTTACATTAAAAAAAGCTAAAAATTAGTGTTTTAACTGAAGTTTAGAGCAATCCAAACTAATGACGAAACTTACCTTTTTTACAGTAGAGGGATAGGAGGAAACACCTTCAGAGTCAGAATAGCTCATGCATATTCCAGAGTTTCCATCTTCTCTCCACCCCCTTTCCTCTCCACTCCCCCAAAACAGTATTGGATAAAGTGGCATTCAGTTTTCAAATAACCTCTTTAGGTAACTATCATAACTATTCCTTGCTTGATATAAGAGAACAGACGTATGTAGATGTGAAGCAACAAAGCTAATTAATGTCAGAGCCAGAACATAATTATGTTCTTGATGTTCTTATCTTCACAAAAAAATATTGAAAAGTATTTAATTTAAACTCATGCAAGCCTACAAGCATTTTCTCCTATGTTAACATACATCCTAAGACTATCAAAAGTTACCATTTCACATACATTTTGAATAACTGAATTATTACCTGCAAAAGGCACTGGCAATAGCTGCACAATCCAGAAATTTAGCCAGATCTGGACAATTACAAAGGCCCACACAAGTGTAACAAAGTAAACATCACTAGTCTTCTTTTTTCTAAGAAAAGATCCAATCTCAGGTCTTTGTCTGCTCCCAGAAGAGGATGAAGTGGAAGATGAAGCATGAGGAGGTTGATCACCTTCTGCTGCTCCTAAAACAAACAAATGCGAACAAAGTGGAAACAATCACATTAATGTTCACCACAGAACAGAATATGCTACCTAGTTCAAATTTGACAGGTTGGGTTTTTTTGTTAACTTATTTGTTGAAAGTTTTTTATTGGGGTTTTTTTGTAATTTTGCAAAAAGATAGTGACAGTCTTGGCCTGAATTTTGAAAACATAGAACAGGGCTGTGTAAGCTCTCCCACATCATACAACACCATGCCAAGCAGTGCTGGGAAGTGAGAAGATGCTACAGCCTCCAAGAAGTCTTCTGTTGCTGCAGGTAGATTACAAGCCAAACATTTTCTCAAACACTGTAAAACCCTGAAAAACACAGTGTAATTCACTTGTAAAAGAAATTTGAAGACCCAAGACATCTTTGATTTCTCTCTACTTCAAGTACTTAAAAACAAATCTTAGATTTTCTCAAAGCTCACTTAAACAAAAAATACAGCACACACTGAAAACGCAGCTTTTATCTTACACATTTCTTACCACCCTTTCTTTTTCTGAACACTCACATCACTCACACTGTGATCCTAAATTATCTGCTTGTGCAACATATATTAGTAGCAACAGCAAGCATAAATTAGTGGGTAACAAATACTGTCATACTCTCATTTGTAAGTTTGTAAACACAAAATTCAAACAAAAATGTGAACTGATGTGTCAAACGTATTTATAACTAAACAGTAGTTATTTCAGGCAAATATATCCTGTCCAGATTAAAATTCTTGTTTAGAGAACATTTATTTAACTTTTTAGTTGGCACATCTACCTAGTATGAGACTAGTATGGGTGATTGCAAATACATCTTTAGTCACTGTATGCAGAATCTCTTCCTGACAACATCAGTAATAATTTTTAATGAAGTTGCATACTGGTGGCAAAATGCATGCACTTCCCACACATCACTGCTTGAGAAAAATTCACAGCCATGGTAGAAGAACACAGAGAAGAAAGCTTGAAAAGATTCTCTGTGCTGAAGAATAAAAGGCAATTTGTTATGTTGGGCACATGCTGCAGCAGGTAAGCAATGAAAACCCTTTCACTGGACTTGTGTCACATCAACATCAAGACTTTCCTCTCATGAGGAAAAACTGTAAAAACTGTATTACAATTTACTACATGCTTATCAGTCAAACAACTACTGTTCCACACATGCCATTTTAGCTGCCACGTGTCACTAAAGCCATTCCTAGCCTAAAACATGACAGCTACCATGTACAAAAAGACAAGACTGATTTGTCATACATGTACAGTAATGGTGACAAATTCTGCAGTGTCAGCCTCACGTAGTGGATGAACAACTTTTTTTTGTTGTAGAAATCTGCACTGGTGTTCTAAAGGAAGGGAAACTATTTTTAGGGGCTCTTATAAACCCTCCATAACTACATTAATACAGTAAGGCAGTTTATTGATTCTCCCAACTGATCAACACTGAGACGATGACAGAAACATCAGCTGGTTGCTGGTAACAATCTGGTGGAACTTCAGAATATTACCCACAGAATTCGAGCCTGCAATCTGAAAGAAGGAACTCTGCAAGCAGCTAAACACAGCAGAAGCTTCAGATGGAGTGATTTTGGGCAAATCAGTCCGTGTCTCAAAGGGATGAAGGCTGGCTCTACCGTACAAACTACAGTTAGGAGAAATCAACTTAATTTTTTATAAGGCAAGAGAAAGTTATCCGTGAACAGAAGTTTTCCTAAAAAGATAGACAGTGTTTTTGTCTTATGAAATATAGGTTCTATCATTGCCTTGTACTTCTAAGTCTATTTTTAATGAAGCAGACTGCTAATGAACAAATAGATCCAGCTTATGATGCATTAAAGGAACGCATTGGAAAGCAATATATCAATAACTGAGAATTCTGTACTGGGACCGGTGTTGTTCAAAATCTTCATCAACGACCTGGATGAGGGTATAGAATGTACCCTCAGCAAGTTTGCTGATGACACTAAGCTGGGAGGAGTGGCTGACACACCAGAAGGCTGTGCTGCCATTCAGAGAGACTTAGATAGGCTGGAGAGTTGGGCGGGGAGAAACATGATGAAATTCAACAAGGGGAAGTGCAGAGTTTTACATTTGGGGAAGAACAACACCATGTCCCAGTACAGGTTGGGGGCTGAACTGCTGGAGAGTAGTGTAGGTGAAAGAGACCTGGGGGTCCTGGTAGACAGGAGGATGACCATGAGCCAGCAATGTGCCCTTGTGGCCAAGAAGGCCAATGGCATCCTGGGGTGCATTAGAAAGGGTGTGGTTAGTAGGTCAAGAGAGGTTCTCCTCCCCCTCTATTCTGCATTGGTGAGGCCACATCTGGAATATTGTGTCCAGTTCTGGGCCCCTCAGTTCCAGAAGGACAGGGAACTGCTCGAGAGAGTCCAGCGCAGAGCTACGAAGATGATTAAGGGAGTGGAACATCTCCCTTATGAGGAAAGGCTGAGGGAGCTGGGTCTCTTTAGCTTGGAGAAAAGGAGACTGAGGGGTGACCTCATCAATGTTTACAAATATGTAAGGGGTGAGTGTCAGGGGGACGGAGTTAGGCTTTTCTCAGTGATGACCAGTGATAGGACAAGGGGTAATGGGTGTAAATTGGAGCGTAGGAGGTTCAAGGTGAATATCCGAAAAAATTTTTTTACTGTAAGAGTGACAGAGCACTGGAACAGACTGCCCAGGGAGGTTGTGGAGTCTCCTTCACTGGAGACATTCAAAACCCACCTGGATGAGTTCCTGTGTGATGTAGTCTAGGTGATCCTGCTCTGGCAGGGGGGTTGGACTAGATGATCTCTCGAGGTCCCTTCCAGCCCCTAAGATTCTATGATTCTGTGATTCTATGAATTCTCCCCTATTCATTTAACTTACTCAACACTTTTCCTTTTACTTCTTTTCCTCCAAAATTAACACAATAAACGTAAGTAACATGGCAACAAGCAGAAACTCAAATATTTCTCAAATAAAAGGAAGTGGTAGAAGTGATAACAGGAAGAAAAAAAAAGGAATTCAATATGCTGAAGTCTATGCCTCAAGATTAAAGTAATCTGACACTTTTTGCCCAAAAAGCTCCTAGTGGAGTCAGTTTTTTCGAAAGAAAAAAGAATATTCCTTTTGGTAATGAAAAATTTGATCAACATATTCTTGCAATGAAGAAAAACCTTAATTAAATAACAGCAACAGTAATGTAAAGAGTAGTACCAATTAAACTGCTGTATCCTCCTAAGGTTTCCTTATTAACTTAAGCAGACTATACACAAAATGCAAAACAGATGGGGAAGAGCTGACAGGGAAAAAAGAGTAACTAAAAAAGGCAAAAAACCCCACTAAAAACTCCTAGAGGATGCCAAAACAAGAAAGCTTTTTCAGAATGCAGTTCCACAGCACTTTTAAGCCAAACTAAATTGGCACTGCCAATGACCCAGTATTCTTTCCATGACAAACAGACTTCTTAGCATCAGAACTGGCATTCAGATGATTGTGTACATCAGTTCACAAAGCTGAGCGATCCAAAAAATAATTCAGCTCATTTCCCCTCCTTTTTTTTTTCCCATGAACAAATTTAAGCAAATTTAATATAAGCATTATTATTGTTACTGATAATTAATAAACCTTGCCAACTACTAACATACTTGGAATAGAAATAAGGAAGATCTCCTCTTAAAGTCTGCTATCCACCTGTTTGAAGATGTGAAAACTTTAAAAATCTTGCACTTCTCATAAAACATTAGTGTTACATTAGAAGTTACAAAGCAAGATAATAAAACATCCAAAAATCACTGCAGAAGAAAACAAGAAGAGCTGTAGTTTCTTAACTCTGCAGGTAAAACCTTTTGCTATACAAAAACCATGTTTCCCCACCATTCACACAGAAGATGAAAAGATGACCAAAAAGATGCATGAGACTCAGCCAAGCAGGACAGAGAAGGCTGAGGTACTCAATCACTACTTTGCCTCAGTCTTCTCCAGGATAGGCTCTGGTCACACCATCCAAGTGAGAAAAGGCAAAGGCATGGACCGTGAAAAGGAAGATCTCCCCACTATGCGTGAAGAGTAGGTTCGTGACCATCTGAAGGACCTGAAGGTGCACAAGTTTATGGGACCTCACTGGATTCATCCATAGCTCCTGAAGGAACTAACCAACAAAACTGCAAAGCCTCTGTCCATCATATTTGAAAAGTCTCAGCAGTCTGGAGAAATCCTCACTGGTCAAGAAGTGAAAAAAGGAAGACCTAGGGAAATATAAACCAGTTAGTTTCACCTCTGTGCCCAGCAAGCTCATGGAGTAGATGATCCTGAAGGCTCTGCTAAGGCATGTGGAAAACAAAGGAGTGACTGGTGACAGTCAACACAGCTTCACCAAGGGCAAATCCTGCCTGACTAATTTGGTGGCCTTCTACAGTGGGGTCACCGCATCAGTGGATAAAGGGAGAGCAATTGACATCATCTACCTGGACCTGTGCAAAGCCTTTGACACTGTCCTGCATGACATGCTGGTATTGAAACTAGAACGGTACAGATTTGATGGATGGACCACACATTGGGTAAGGAACTAGCTGGATGGTTGCACTCAAATGTGTGATGATCAATGGCTTGATGTCCAGATGGAGACCTGTGATGAGTGGTGTTCTCCAAGGGTCAGTACTTGGACCAGTGCTATTTAATATCTTTGTCAGTGACATGGACAGTGGCATTGAGTGCACCCTCAGCAAGTTTGCTGATGACACCAAAGTGTGTGGTGAGGTCAATACGTTGTGGTGAGGTCAATACGTTGGAGGGAAAGGATACCACCTGAAAGACCTTGACAGGCTTGAGAAGTGGGCTTGTGCAAACTGCATGAAGTTCAACCAGACCAGGTGCAAGGTCCTGCACCTGGGCTGGGGCAATCCCAAGCACAAATATAGGCTGGGTGGAGAATGGATCAAAAACAGCCCATAGGAGGAGGACTTAGGGCTGATGGTGGGCGAGAAGCTCAACATGAGCTGGCAATGTGCACTCGCAGCCCTGAAAGCCAGCTGTGTCCTGGGCTGCATCAAAAGAAGCGTGGCCAGTAGGTCAAGGGAGGTGACTCTCTCCCTTTACTTGGCTCTCGTGGGACCCCACCTGGAGTACTGTGTTCAACAGATGAAGGACATAGAGTTCATGGATAAAGTCCAGAGAAGGGCCATGAAAATGATCAGAAGGCTAAAACACCTCTCCTATGAGGACAAGCTGAGGGAGTGGGGCTGTTCAGCCTGGAGAAAAGAAGGCTCTGGGGACACCTTACAGCAGCTTTCCAGTACCTGAAAGGGGCCTACAGGAAAGCTGGGGAGGGACTTTTTACAAGGACTTGTACTGAGTGGACAAAGGGGAATGGATTACAACTGGAAGAGGGGAAATTTAGGTTAGACATCAGCAAGAAATTCTTCAGTGAGGGTGGTGAAACACTGGAACAGGTTTTCTAGGGAAGCTGTGGAAGCCCCATCCCTGGAAGTGTTCTAAGCCAGGTCAGATGGCGATCTGAGCAACCTGATCTAGTGGGAGGTGTCCCTGCCCACGCAGGGAGGTTGGAACTAGATGATCTTTAAGGTCCCTTTCAAGCCAAACCATTCTATGATTCTATGAAAATAGAATGCTAATTCCCAATAGACTATTGGAAAATTATTTGAACTGGTTTTAGGAGTAAAGAGGAAACTGTATTTGTTCCTCTTTCTGTAAAGAAAACAACAACAGAATTTGCAAGACAAAAGGACACCTGATTAACTGTCTCAAAAGAAGAAATAAAATCATATTTACTAGAAAAGACACCTTTTTAAAACCACTATAGTTTTTCTGTTGGCCAAAAGAGGTTACAACTTGAAAACAGAAAAAAACAGACTTGAAGAGAAAAAAATTAAAACTGGTAAGTTAAAAAAAGCAAAAAGCAAACATACCCTATTAGATAGCACATTTGTGGGAGACTGTTGCTTGGCCAGGTGTTTAAAATGCAGCTAATAAAAAACACACTTCCCAAATTGAAAAATTAGAGACAGCAACATAAGAAAACTGTCACCATGATGCTCTGTTGTCAGATTTCAGGAGATACTTCTACAGGGTTCTATATTTATTTTTATGATAGTCATGTGAAGTGTAGAAACAAAGATAATAAAGTTGTCTAAAGCTGCCCTTTTTGTATTTAAAAATTAAGCAAGTTTTCAAGCACAGCTTACACTGACATATTTGAAATCAGGAATTGTGTTTACGTTCCATCAAAAGATTTCTGAAGAGCTTGTTCTACACAGCTTCACCTGGTGGCTGAAGTAAATTTTTAGTTTCACAAATGGTAGCCTTTGGACAGAAGCTTTTCAAGCCATGTGCTCAAAGAATTCTCTCATGCACCATCACTATGTTTCCTCCTCTGAAGCATGATTTATACATTACCCACAATAATAACAACATACTATCTTGAAGTAGGTAACTTTTAGACACAGTCAATTTCAAAATGAAGTTTTGGAAGTTACATTCTGTCAAGTTGAATGACCAGTTTTGTCTATTTGCAGGAAATGGATTAAACTTTTCAATTTCCAGGGATCTCCATAATAGCTTATTACTCTAGTCTCTCATTACATCAAAGAGCTACTCAGAAAAATGACGGCAAGGTTTAAAACCAGTGATGGACACATGAACACATCCATTGCAACTCTTTCTACACTCAAGCTACAATGTGAAGTATATTTATTATAGGAAAGACTTTGAGCGTGCCATAGTTAAACAGAGAACAATCTTTTTTGTCACTGGGAGGTACACAAAAATTAGTTTAGCCTGTGTGTACCTGGTCCAGAAATCCAGTTATATCTTGTAGCTGCTAACAAATCAGAAGGCGGCTAGGGAAAACTTAAAAAAAATAGGAAAAAACATACCCTTGTTCAGAAAAAAAAATAAAAATTCTAGTCAGGCCTTTTAAATGTACAGTCATGTAACCTATCATTTGAAAGACACCTTTTATATTATTGTGGTCTTAACATGTTTAAAAACAGTCACTTGTTTCACAAAGCCAGTACAGACATGCTATTTTAGACAGGATGAGGACAAGAGAGACTATTTTGAAATTTGTTCTTAATTCCCTCCAATTTCATGCCTTTAAAGCAAATTCAAATGTTTTCTTACAGAGTATTCAGTCACCTGAGGGTTGTGAGGAACGATCACTATTGGACTCATCTTCCGTCATTGAAATTGCCATGGCAATTGTTGAAGCAGCAATGGAAATCATCTGACCAGGAAGTTCTGCCCCTGTAAAATATATATGTGTATATAAATAGAGAAGCTTAAGTCTTAAAATATTTTACTTGTTGCTTGATATCGACTGAAGCTGTCCAGCAACAAAAATTACACAAAAATACCTCAAGTTTTTAATATGATAATGTGTCGCTGCTTTGCTAATGGAAAATAAAAGAAACATCAGAGTCCATTCCAATGATTTCTTGTTAGGAATTAACATGCATAAACCACTTTGAAACAAGCATACTACAAATCTTATAGTAAACTCTTGCAATACTGAGTTTACAGTAATACAGTCCAGATTCTTTCACTTCACTTTACAGAAATTATGCCTCCAACAATTAAAGAAATAGTGGCTTGTTCCTTACCAGAAGACTCCTTTCCATTCTGTTGTTCATGCAACATGCCTACAGTCATCAGAACAACTATAACCAGAAACACAGGTATTCTCCAGGAACCTGCCACAGAAGCTGAAAGATACAGAGGTTTTCTTACAAGAAAAATTATACCATTAATAAACTCTACATTTAGCAAACAAAGAAAGGCACTACAACAACTAGCAATCCGGGCAGAAACTAAGAAGTGTCATAAAGCAAAGAAGTTTTCCACATTCACAGAAAGGAAGAAGAGAAAAAAAACAGGTGAACAAGTTCCTCAATGAATAAACCAAGTTTTACCATTCCTAATTTCAGTGACTTTGAACTACATTGGTATAGAGAACAATTTTTAAAACAACCTGCAAAATTAGATGAAAATACATACAAAATTTAAAAAAATCTAAATATCAGAGGCAAATCAAGTTCCCCTGCCTCCTTAAAAAAGAAAATAATTAAAAAATATGTATTTATATTAGATCACCACAGAGTGGCATCAAGCAGTGCCTTCTTGGGTTTTGGCTTTTCAGCTAGTACTTCCAGCAAATACAAGACTGTGCAAATACAAGCAAATGCAAAGCCATTATGCATATTTTAAAACCTCAGGAAAGTGTCCCCTTATGGTGAGAACAGCCCTTGAAACTTGCTGCTAAGGTAAAGTAAATAACGAAGTACACTGCAACATGTTCCATCATGAGTCTTCTGTTATTCATGATACATCCACCATAAACCCTGATATGATAACTATCTGATAATTTGTTATATTAAATATGTAAAACAAATCTAATAGTAATAGATTCCTATAAACATATTTGTATTAACAGATTATATAGATCACTGGCAAATTTATTTCATATTGTTTTTATCATTTAGACATGCCAGTTAACTACTGATAAAATATATTTTTTTCCTTCTATTATTACTATTAAATGCATTGTACAGCTTCAGCCTTGGGTAATGGCACATTGTCAAGAAACTAAGATTAAAAATAATTGCAAATGAAAGTCTAAATCTGCCCACATGTGACCAAAGCCCTTTCTCACTGTCAGGGAGTCAGTCAGGCCCAGGAGCCAAATAAGAGAAAACTGTGGGAAGTACAATCTGGGCAGGAGTGGAAGACAGATGTTGCTCAGTATCTTGATGCCTTCTCATTCCCTCCTCCAACACTCCCAGCTGGCTACACGCAGCCAGAATTACTGAGCAGAGAAAACAGCTTGCATCTCGCTAACTTTCCATTATGAAGACTTAGCAGAAGAGCAAGCAAGTAGTTCTTCAAGACAATAAAATCCCAGAAAACATGTTAGAATAATAACTTTGTGTTACTCACCTAAGTGAAAGAGTAGCATCATCCAGACAGGGACAGAGACTGCTTTTAAGTAATGTTCAGTGCTTATATTCCACTTGAATGAAACCATCAGCAGGTAACCAGCCACCAATGTCCATATCTTTAAGAAAAAGATACACACGGGTGATGAATACATACACAATTACAATATAGCTGTATTTTGATGTGTGTGTATACACACACTTGCACACATCCCTAACTGCCATATTGAGAGAACTGAAGACAGGTTCCAATTCTTTGAAAAGCCTACATTTCAGATCCATCAATTACAGGAGGCTTTGCTCCATTTAAGAGAAATGTAAAGTTAGTGGAAAATGCAAAGGACAGGCTAGACCTTGTGAGGAAGTATACGTGCTTTTCTGGACACAAACCCTGAAGGAAGATATTTTTGCAGCTGAGACCAAGCAATTACTCCAGAACCATTATTAAAAGGCGGGAACCTAAATGAAACAGGGCCAGAGACATGAAGGGGGCCACAGGGACAGAGCCAGCAGAGCATCACTTCTTCCAACATGAAGCAGCTTGCCAGTGTTCCAGTCCAATGAACAAAAGGGGGTTTTAAGCCAAAGATTGCCATTAGGAAGCATAATAAAAGCAGGTGTTTCTCAGCAGCATCAGTCCACAAAACAGTCATGCCTTTAAATAATTAGTGACACGTAATTTTTTCAAAAACTTAAGTAGAACCACTAAAGACAGAAAACTGTCCATGACAACATATTAAGAGGCAGATGTGGTCATTTTGGTTTTGCTTCTTCTAACTGCCTTCTCGTTCATCAGAAAAATCACAATGAAGAATTCTAATTAAGAATCTTGAGATGAATAACTTGAGTTTGAAAATGCTGAAGAGAGCAGCAACCAGAAGAGGCAACAGGAGGTGAAAAGCTGCTACTCAGCAGGAGATGCAAAATAAGAAATATAAAACCATGCAAAAAATGTGCATTACTGCATTCTTAAAAAACAAATCAAATAAAATCTGACATTTCTAGCCCGGAGTCAACAAACATTCCATATCCATAACCAGTTAAGGACACCTTCAAATTTACACTTAAAAATCCATAAATCCCCATCAAGTTTACACAGAACTTCCATTAACAGCATTTACTTTTCATACTCAACTTTCTCATCAAGCTGATCAGTCCCAGTTTTCACTGCTATCTATCCCTAGTTTTGCATCAACAGAGCTGAGGAATGCTTGTGACCAAATGTGAACTAGAGACAAACATCTAAAACTAACATGACTATTTAAGTTTCAAATCTAGTCACAAACAACAAGAAAAAAAAAAGATCTGAAATGCACAGCAACACTCCTTTAACTGTATAGGTTCAAAACATAAGTTCACTCACAAGGCATATTACAGCATGACTGTAATTGCAAGAGAGAGCTCAGCACGAAGATGCAATCCTACTTGTAACATTAGCTGCACAGCATCTGTCTGCTAAATATTCCAGCCTCAAAGCAACATTTTTATTTAGCTTTTAAACACAATTATAAACTATAAATAGAAGACACAGTACGTTCAATAAATTAAACCTTCTGATAAAAAATATGCCCAAAGTAGAAGGCTAACGGGGCATAACTCTATGATTACAGCCAGCAAAGCAAAACACGTTGCACTGTGTTTAGCCGTGCATGTAGCCAAACTAAAAGCTAGCATTTCGGTGTTGGGGATTCAATATTTTTTTGTGTGTGTTGTAAGTTACCATAATTCATCCATTCTCATTTCTAAAAGCTTAGGAAATTACTCAAGTAAAAGTATGCATTTCTATTTAAAAGTATGTATTTCTATTGAATAGAAATACCTTATTTTAAAATAACCAACTCATTTCAGAGATCAAACAGTAACAATCCTGAAGCCCTGTAAAAAAAAAAAATACATCTATGTAGCCAACTGACTGGTGCAACAGTTTTCATTTCACGGTGACACCACTGAGTAAGCAGATCTTTATTGGTTAGTATTATGGCCAAGCACTTCCTCATGCTGCAAGAAACATACTGCATGGGAACTAGGGTAGCCTACTTCCAACAATTCATAGCTGAAAGCAACTGACAAAATAAATTAACTTAAATTGACATGGACTAGGATTTCATCCCATACTAACTTGGCAACTGCCTATTTTTTTTTCCCCCTTCTTAACCCTTTAAGTGCATGTTACATAACCTTTCCCCACTGTGTTTTCTGAATGGTCTTCAAAGGTTTTGGCTCCAAGAGCGTGAGAATACTAATAGCCTCTTTACTATTACATGTCCATCTCAAAAACTGACAGCATGGAAATGAGGAATAAAAGACACTGTCTGCTTTCATTAAACCAAGCTACTGTAATTGTTGCACTGAGATTAGAATGGATACAAATTCCATGCTAAACCAAACTACCTATAAATTGATACATTTGATGTATAAGAGTATACAGTTAACCAGGTAAATACACACACTTTAGATATTGCAGAATGCATTAGCCACCATAAACTATTTATCAAGGTACTGGCATTTGCAAGTGCCTAACTTTCACCATGTAGCCTGAGACTTTAAATGTCTATTCAATCAAAATTAGTATTTACTGACATGCACAGTTCCCATATATCAGCATTTTAGGATGGTTTTATCCTGTAAGCTTTCCTTCTTCTTTCCATCACTTATCTTTATTGTTTGAACAGACAGCAAAGACCTCATTTTTCACATCTCCTTGCATTTTTCAGTGCTCCTTGGAAATTGACCAAAACACTGTTTTGCCTTTAGACATAAAAAGTAAAACTCCCTGCTTCCCAGAATAAAGAGCTGTTAAGACTGCACTGCAACTTCTTAGATTTCAGCATCCATTTTTGCGTTACAGTGGTAAATTTAAAAGGCCAGATTGAGAGTCCTCTAGGCAAGTCTGAAGGGCTTTAGTTCTCTTTATATTGGCAATTGGAGACAAAATTACCCCACAGAAAGATGAATCTTGAGCATCTGCTTCCATGTTTTGATTTTTCTTTCAAATGTAGGTGTTGGAAAGTCTAGAATTTATCAGCATGAATGTAGCACCAATGTTACTGAAATTTGATTTACAGTTCCAGTTAAACTTGAGAAAATTTGCAAATCTGAGACACTCTTTTGACTTGGGCATCCTTTCCAACAAGAACAAACTCCTTACTAATAAATTCTTGACAAAATATATATCAAAGTCAGTTACACGGTTCACTCTCTTTTTTCTCCTATCAGCAAGTTAATCTAAGGGAGAAGGTTTACAGATAACTTTGTATAATACCTCACTGGTTCTGATAGCAGCAGTTCCTTCTCTCCCACCACCAGTCAGGAGGTCCCACCTCTTCTGCACACCAGCTTCAACACTCAGCCAGACAACTTAAGCTCCCTAAGCTGATAAAACAAAACAAAACACAAAAAACCCCAACCTATCTGGAAAACAACCCAAGAGTTATAATCTAATTCAGTTATAACTAAACAGACTCAAATGGATAAGACAGGCAACAACAACAGGGCAACTGAAGTATATGTCAGAAAAGGAATGAACAAGAGCAGCTCCTCAATGGTAGCAAAGCTGGAAGAATTACTCATCCTTCTTTGGAATGTTGCCCCAACAACTCAACATCCAGCAGTGAACCTGTTTCCTGCCTGTTTCATTTAAACCACCCTGTGGTAAACACAACAATGAAGACTGAATAGAACAATCCTTAAAAACTTTGACCAAATATTCACATTGCACTTTTGTAAACTTTGAAAACAGCGCTGCTGAGTGAAACTAGTTGAAGACACAATCGTATGAGAGCAGTCAATTCTATCTCTTTCTCCCTCCGCAGCAAAGCAGGTTGGTGAAGGCAAATGAATCTACTGCAAAAGCTGACCTGAATAGTGTTGGACTTGAAAACTGAAGAGACACAAGGCATTAAATGCAAGCCAAGCTGTGTTTGCTGTTACAAACACCTCAGTGTTTTCTTTATCTGTTCATTTTAAACAGGTTTTCTAAACAATTAAAAAGAAAAAAATAAATTTTTAAGAAAGCAGGTGAGGAATTATGAAAATGTCTTTTTTATTCCAGTTTTCAGGACCAAAATTAATTTCATGTGTCTTCACTGTATATTTCACAGTACACAAGAGGAAATATCCCATAATGTGCAGAGTTTGGCAGATTGAATAAAGCAGTTCTTGTCAAAGAGATACAAAACAAACAAAAAAACCCAACACAAAAACCAACTAATCACACATAATACTATTGCTCACCTCAGAACAAACTCAGCCACCTCTTCCTTTCACTGAGGAAGCCATAATTTATTTACCTAATCATACACAGAATCACACAGAATTATTGAGGCTGGAAAAGACCTCTGAGATCACAAAATCCAGCCTATGACCTAACACCACCACATCAGCTAGACCATGGCACTAAGTGCCACATCTAGTCTTTCCTTAAACACCTCTATGGATGGTGATTCCACCACTTCCCTGGGCAGTCCATTCCAATGTCTAATCACATGAGGAAGTGCTTCCTAACATCCAACCTAAACCTCCCCTGGCGCCATGCCCTCTTGTCATGTCACTAGCTGCTTGGGAGAAGAGCCCAGCCCCCCCAGGAGGGTTGTAACCCTTCTTCAGGTAGTTGTAGAGAGTGATAAGGTCCCTCCCCAGTCTCCTCTTCTCCAAGCTAAACAACCCCAGCTCCCTCAGCCTCTCTTCATAAGACTTTCCCTCTAGCTCCTTTACCAGCCTTGTTGCTCTCCTCTGGATATGCTCCAGCACCTCAATATCCTTCCTGAAGTGAGGAGCCCAGTACGCAGTACTAGAGGTGAAGACTCACCAGTGCTGTGTACAGAGGGAGAATCACATCCCTACTCCTGCTGGCCACACTATCGCTGATAGAAGCCAGGATGCCATTGGCCTTCTGGGCCACCTGGGCACACTGCTGGCTTATGTTCACCCAGATGTCAACCAGTACTCCCAGGTCCCTCTCTGACAGGCTGTTCTCCAGTCACTCTTCCCCCAGTCTGTAGAGCTGCCTGGGGTTATTGTGGCCAAAAGTGGGACCTGGCACTTGGTCTTGTTGAACCTCATACTGTTGGCCTCTGCCCATTGACCCAGTGTGTCCAGATCCTGCTGCAGCATCTTCCTACCCTCCAGCTGGTCAACACTCTCCCTCAACTTGGTGTCATCCACAAATTTACTAAGGCCAGACTCAATCCCCTCATGCAGGTTGTCAATAAAGATGTTGAAAAGGACTGGGCCCAGTACAGATCTCTGGGGGACACCACTGGTCACCAGACATCAACCGGATGCAACGCTGTTCACCACCACTCTCTGGGCCTGGTAACATCCTGGGGTTTTTTTCCCAAGCGAACACAAGTAAGCATAAACTTGACAGACTGTGTTATTCCTAGTCCTAAACCCAAAGGACTAGAACAGGGTACCAGTACTGTTTCTCCTAGAACCCCCAACTGTGACATCTACATGGATATGTCTGGTGTTAACAAATGCAGACTACTAAACCACATGAAACACAAGCCTGGTGTTCAGCAAGACTCTCCCTTTTTAAAAGGGACAATAGGATGAACTTTCAACTAGAATCCGGAGGCAGGAGTAATTGACCATCAAAACCAACACTGTCACACGCGGAATTATTTTCATTGTGTCCTGCAACATCTCCTATGCTGTCTTTTGGAAATCCATCATACGTAAGATATCCAGAAGACTGCAGCTATGGATGTTGAAAATGCTTCTAGTTTAGGTCACTTTTCCTGTATTAATACAAAATTACAAAACACAGGACTCAGTTTTGGGTCCAGCCTTGTTTAATATCTTTATTAATTACCTAGATGAGGGGATGGAGTGCTTCCTAATTAAGTTTGCAGACGACACTAAGCTGGATGGAAGTGTAAATTTGCTTGAGGGTAGGAAGGCTCTGCAGAGAGACCTGGACAGACTGGATCGATGGGCTGAGGCCAATTGTATGAGGTTCAACAAGGCCAAGTGCTGGGTGCTGCACTTTGATCACAACAACCTCATGCAAAACTACAGGCTTGGGGATGAGTGGTCAGAAAGATCCATGGTGGAGAAGGACCTGGGGGTGCTGGTTGACAGCTGACTTAACATAAGCCAGCAGTGTGCCCAGGTGGCCAAAGGCATCCTGGCCTGCACCAGTAATACTGTGGCCAGCCAGAGTAGAGAGGTGATCAAGTCCCTGTACTTGGCATTGGTGAAGCCACACTGAGTACTGTGTGCAGTTCTGGACCCCTCACTACAAGAAGGATGTAGAGCTGCTGGAGCATGTCCAGAGGAGAGCTACCAAGCTGGTGAAAGGTCTGGAGAATAAGTCCTATGAGGAGAGTCTGAGGGAGGTGGGATTGTTTAGTCTGAAGAAGAGAAGGCTGAGGGGAGACCTCATTGCTTTCTACAGCTACCTGAAAGGAGGTTGTAGGGAGGTGGGAGTAGGCATCTTCTCTCAAGTGAATAATGACAGGACAAGAGGAAATGGCCTGAAGCTGTGCCAGGGGAGGTTTAGGCTGGATATTAGAAATAATTTATTTACCAAAAGACTGGCTGGACACTGGAACAGGCTGCCCAGGGAGGTGGTGGAGTCACCATCTCTGGAAGTGTTTAAAAGAAATACAGGTGTGGTGCTTAGCAGCATGATTTAAGCACTGAACTGGTGTATTAGGTTATGGTAGGGGGATCTAGGTTACGGTTGGACTTGATGATCTTCAAGGTCCCTTCCAACAGGGATGATTCTATGATTTATGAGAAACTCTGTTAATGAAAACGCCATTCAGAAATAAAACTTTTCAAGATTCACTTGTGAAAAGGTTTTTCAGAGCACATCTCTCCCTGAAGACAGAGTACCACTCCTCTCACATGCTTCATGACAATACTTTCACAAGAGATGGCTGCTCAACTTACACAACTTCTTTACCTCCTTGATTTTACAGAGCACAGTTACATTTTGCTCAACAGTTCCATAACAATCATTCCCTTCAGAGGTGGTAGAAAGAGAAGTATAATTGCATTCAAATAATACATATAAATTCAAAAACTAACATTATGTAACTTCAGGCCCAAGGCTAGAGTCAGCTAAGTGCCTGGAGCTGCTGTTAATGCATATAAATCTAAACAAGCTCCTAAACCTTTTCAAAAAACATACCTCACAGCAGGTTCTCCCAAAACTGAGGGTAGGTGGGTGTGGAAAGGAAAAACAAAGGTGGAAAACAACATCTCAGTCTTTCCCTCCCCATCCCATTATGTTTTTAAATAAGCAACATGTGGTTGGTCTCTACACAGCTGATCTCTATCAAGTTGTGAAAACAAAAGAAAAACTGTGGTTTTGGTAAGATATGTTTATAGACAGTACCTGGCTCTGTGATTTATAAGCCATGATACTAATCAGTAGAAAGATAGATATAGATATATATAATATACAACAGAAATAATACTTCAGGGCTTTTTCAGGTGTTGTTTGGTTTGTCTTCTTTTGTTTAATGTGAGGAATGTTTTAGAAACCTACAAGCCTGCTCTAAGATGAAAGAGAGGAAAAACAAACCTATCTGAAATACTAAAAAAAAAATAGAAATCATATGCACCTCCATAATCACAACTGTGTTTTTCTCATTTAAAGTTAAGTCCTACATTATAGTCAAACTTAATCCTCTCCTTTGCTATAAGATAAATTAACCCATCAGGTGACTGACAAAACGCAGAGGCTTTTTTGCCTCCACAGGTGATCCTCAATAGCATGTGGAGCCAAGCATCTTGGAGCCTGTGACACAAAATGTTTCCCAGGAAACATGTTTGAGAATTTCAGTCTGTAAGGGTTACTCTGGGTACTGCTGACATCTAGTACCAACACAAATGGCAGTTTCCCTGGTGGATGTCTTTGATAGCTTCCCTGATGGGGAGCAGACAGTTGACCAGCCAAAACTGACAACACATATTTTTACAATATTCCAATGTAGCAGTCACAGCAAATGGTGTTTCCAG